AAATTTTACATAATTTTAAAATTATTTGTTAATTTATCACATTGTTTTATTATAAAATAATATATATATATATAATATGAAACTTCAAAATTATTTCATGAGAAACATAAAAAGAAAAGGCAAAGAAAATAATAAATAATAACATAAAATTTACTAAACTACTAGGATCAATCTAATAATGGAAGGATTAGAGTGACATACACAGTCTTATATTTGATAGATAAAATATATATATATATAACTTATCCTAAATTCATATTTTCTTAAACTATCCTTAAAATTGTAACATAAAAAAACCTATACCTAAATTTAACAAGATCATTACTCTACCAACTATTCATTGAATTAAAATGAACAACTTTAGTTAAAAGTATTTATTATAAAAAAAATAATTATGTGACATGTATCTACAACCCACTAGGTAAAAAATTAATTTTTTATTATAATTATCCTAGGTTCAAAAGATTTTCACACATAACAAAATCAAGGATAAGATTATCCACTTAATATATTATTTTTACAATATATGATTATCAATCCATCAATTTTTTTTTACACAGGTGTTTACATCTCACTGTCTTAACAAGATCAAAATAACAACAACACTAATAAAAAATAATTATTTTTATACTATACTTTTAGTTTCTCCCATATAAAAAGAACAAGGTAGTAACAAATGGAGGCTCCATTATTTTAATATTTCAAACATTTTTTACAAAAAAAATTATCTTAGAAAATACAACCATAACACATATAATTTGAATTTATAATCATATGTATATTACACAACTTCCCATGATTTGAATGGTTATTTCATGTTTATTATTTAATTGTTTTAAAAAAATTATAACATTAATTTTTTTAAAACATACACTTAAAAGTTTCCTAAACATCATTTTAGTGGTAGAATCTTTTTTAAAGTCCAAGGATCCAATATAAAAAAAAAATACTGATATCAAAACAACATATTTTAAAATCAAAATATTTTTATTTTCATTTGGTATATTTTTCATAAATATTTAAAATATTTTATTTTTATTCATTGTTTGAAATGTTAGTTTTCATAAAAAAGTAAAAGTAAGAAGAAAAAATATTTTATGAAATCATATCATTATAAATTTAAATGGTTTAAATATATTTTTTAATCCTTATAATTTTACTTACTTTGCATTTTAGTTCTTATAATTTAAAATAGATCTTTTTATTTTGTAACATTGTAGGTTTCTAATTATCGTCTTTTAGCAGTAATTATTTATTCATATGATATTTGAGGTGCATTGTGGGACTTTAAGAATTGAGGAACTCTTAAGAGTTTGATTAGTTTTGAAGGTCTATAGTTAAAGGTCCACATGACCCTAATGAGAGGAGGTATATAAAGCTTTTGTTGAGAATTGAGCTTTATAAGTTTAGTTATCTAGATTTTGGAGAGATAAACTAGGTAGAAATATTTTAGATACATGGATTTCCCTCTTCTCTAAACTTTCTCTCAATCGAATAATTCCTTCCCCCAGAATCATTGAGGTGTTTGTGTGCGGAGCTTCACACAACTTAGATTTAGTTTTCTTCTTCTTCCTCTTCTTTGTTTCAGATAGTTTGGAATCGAGGTGAAGGAAGCTAAAACTTGATTGTTGGTAGAATTTTGTGTTGCATGTACCTTGATTATGGTTGATTGCTTGTTGGTTTGCTTAATTTGGAGTGGGTGTTAGAACTTGGTGCTCTTGGAATTCTTGGTGAAAAATGAAAGATTTGACAATCTAATTGGTGTGTTGTTGTTGTTACCTACTTGATTTTCTTCATAACCTGAGTTATATGTTGCTAATAGGTGATAAATATTGAATTGCATGCATGAACTACTGGTTGGATGAGAATTTTGGAGATTTGATGGTGTTCATAGTTGTTGGATTTGTTCTTCGTGTATCCAAAACTTTATAGGTTTGTGACGCTAAGCATGAGCCTCACACTTAGCGTGGAGATTGGAGAATGCCTTTGGAAGGTTGCCACTCAGCAAGAAAGTTTGCATTTGTTTTCATGACTCTTTGGTAGTTTGGCGCTCAGCGTGAGTTTCTATGCTCAACATGAAAACTCGCATTTGTTTTTATGACTCTCTGAGAGTTTAGCGCTCAACATGAGTTTCCATGCTCAACGTGAAAACTTAACCAAATATTTTCTTCTTTCTTTGAGTTAGTTTCTCACATGATGTATGATGAAGGTGATTTATATGTATTTATTCTTTTATACATTGCTATAGGATAATGTATATTAATGATTAATTATCGATTGGTGAGTTGAATGGTGAACATGAATAGCATTGTTTAATTTATTGCATGTATGTAGGATGATGATAATAAGCATTGACATGGTATAATTATGTAGTTGAAATGGTGATGAGTATTTATATGTTATAAATTGCATGTGTTGGAGTGTTGAATAGCCATTGGTATGTTATTATTAAATAGGTTGTTAAGCATTAGTATGCTAATCTTAGATGAATTATTGAGTATTGGTATGCTAATTATGATTGGTGTGATTTGATCTCTATATGCATTGAAGTGGGGTAATGTATATAGATGTATGTTAGGGTGTTGAAGCTAAAAATGTTGTAGGCATTAAAACATGTTGATTGATCTAAGAATAGAGGAAAAAATGTTTGAAAGTTGAAGATCTCATATAGGAAATCTCGTTTTGGCACTCTAGGAGGTCAATTGTTGAAAACGCTCTTTGATTAGGTGTGAAACTCTTGGAGTGGATTTTGTTGAGTTTCCTTTAGGCCCTTAGTCAATGTAAAGTAAAGTATGAAGTTGAAGACTACCACGCTTAACTAATTATTAGAAAGGTTGTGTGGTTTTTTTTTATGATAATTGGTAAGCTAATTCTATAAATGACTTGGTAATGCATGTTAAAATCGTAATATGCATATGCTCAATTATACTAGTCCTAATGATGGAATAAGAATTTCTTAGTGTGAGTGGTAACACTCGAAAAATCAAATGAGAGATTGATATTCTATTTTAGTTATGGACCCAGTGACCGCACTAGGTGTGAAAGTGATCGAGTTGATTTAATAGAATCAAACCACATAGACTACTTAAGTGTATTAGGAGATCTTCGTGGATGAATGTGTGATAACGCATTAATTAAAGTGTATACATATGATTTGTTGTTGATTGATTTGTTCATATGCATTTGTTGAATCTCTTATTGTATGATATTTACTTGGTGAAGGTTTGACGGCTTGATTTGTAACTTTCAAACTGGTTGTTGTTTTAAAAATTGTTGTATGATGTGAATCTTGTATTGTTGGTTTCAAGGTTCACATGTGGGTGAGTAATATATGTATATTTTATTTTGATTCTTTTGAAATCTAGTTTACTCTTGCTTGTTTTCATGTATTGTGGACAATGATAATTATACTTGGTACGAGAACAAAACAATGATAGATTTTAACAAACCATAGTGGGGTCATTAAGTAAATGATGGTACTTTTAAATTTTGTGCTACCTCTAGTTTAATTTGTGTTTAACCGACACTTAGATCATATATTTGACTCTTAGTGAATAATTATACTTATATTTTTTAAATTTGTATAGTTGTAATACATACTTAGATATTTGTGAATATATGACTTTAGTAATAAATTTTTTGTTGTTAACGGGTGATTTCATGAAATATAATAATCATGACATATCGTTATATATCTAATTTCTTTTTAATCTTTATACTTATCTTTTCTCGATCTTTTTTAATCTTATACTTTAACATAAACTATTTTAATCTCTATATTTATAATTTCTTTTCTTTTAGATCTTATCATTGATTTTTTTTTGTAACCATGTCTATTTTATATTGATGTTGTATAAATCTTTAATTTTATAAATAAAAAATGTTTCAATAATATATGCAGCAAATAAAAATATAAATGAAACATAATATCGAAAAATTCAACCAAAATAAATTTAATATCAGCACATAAAATTGAATTGAATTATTATTTTTATCACAATCAAATAATTAAATTAATAATAATTATTTATATATAATATCATACACATAAAATTGAATTGAATTATTGTTTTTATCACAATCATTATCACAACCAAATAATTAAATTAATACTAGTTATTTATATATTAAGAGGGGGCGGGGGGAACCAATTTTGTTGAGTATAATTAGGTGCAGAAGTTGTATTACACATTTATAATTAAATGACTTTTTTCACTGTTTTCATAATTTTTTTTATCTTGTATTTATAAATAATCTCATCTGATAAATTTTAAATTAAGTTATTTATTCAACTCTGAACACCACCTAGCCTGAGATATTGAGTTATTAATGCAATTATAATAACTAGAAACAGATTAATGCGGCTGGATTACAAGTTATTATTTAGTACAAAATTTGACGAACCAATATTTAAAGCATACATAACAACACAGCCAAATCGAGCTCAATAATCAGAGTTAGTTCCCTTTATTCAGTATGGTTAATTGATTAGGAAGACTATATATCATTCACAGAATGAATAGTTCGTAGTTCAACTTGTAAATATCATGTAAATCATTTTAAAATTAGTTTGAATTTAAAATCTTGTGATGAAGTTAAAAGCTGATAATTATTTTAAAAAAAAAACCATGAAGTCCATCCAAGTTTGGAAGGAAGCTTACAAATATTACAATTCGCTACAAATATTAATAACCATATGAAGACAAGCCAGCATTTATATTTTATATTGATTTTCAGGTTATTTCTATGATTTATTTCTTTTAGAAAGCTTTTAAATTTCTTGGGGGCAATACTACTTGTTTTTAGCTGAAAGCAACATATTAGATGGAAGATTATTTGGATATCCTCTTCTAATCTTAACAAGTTTAATTGGCAAACAGACACACAAGAAAACGCAATAAAATTGAGATAGCAAAATAGAGATGTTTAAAATAATTATAAAAAAAAACAAAACAAAAAAAACTAAAGTATATAGGATGTCAGATTCGAAAATAAAATGCAATACACCGTTCACCCACCAAAAGTTACTCGTCTTTTAGTCCACACTAGATTTATGGAACACCACATTATCATGTTCATCATCAACTCCTGATTCTAATACTCCCACAGAAATGAGTGATTACTGCTGAGCGCACTGTACCCTCTGTGCACCACCAGGCATATCATCATCCTCGTCATAGGCCTCCTGAGCTGCTTGCTGCTGCTTCCTCCTAGTCTCCTCCTCCATATTCACATCATGTAGTGTTGTCTCCTCACACTCGTCCAGCTCCATGTCTGTCAACTGCGAAGAAGGCTTTGGTGGCAGAACGGCTTCCAAGGCCTTAACCTGATCAGCATTCAGAAAATCAGGGAATTCCACAGTGAAGTGGATGTACAGCTTCCCCTTCATAAATGGTCTCTGGTACATGGGCATCCCCTCATCATTGATAGCCTTGTATGCATCTGCATGTATAACCACCGAAAGATACAATTTTCTTAGCATATATAAAATTACCAATTTAATAGCATTACAAATTCAAACACAGAAAGAGATGTGGACCATTTACATACCAGGCTTGACAACTTCCCCGGGATTTGACTTTATAAGAAGTTGACGACCATCCAAGTGAGTCAGCACAAATTGGAAGCCACATAAGGCCTCAGTGAGGGACAAGGTGTGCTCCACAAAAAGGTCTTCAGACTTTCTTCTGAATTTGGGGTGTTCTTTCTGCTGAAGCACAAAGACTATATCCCCAGTAATTGTGTCCGGCTGCATAACAAAAACAACTATGAGTCATTATAAATTCAGTAATCAACTTGATGTCAGCAACAATAATACTCCCATATCATATCAGCATACCGCTTCATCAGCTTCACCAGGGAATGTAATCTTCTGCCCGTTCTGCATTCCCTTCTCCACATGAACCTCAAGAACTTTCTTCTCCTGCACAACCTTCTCTCCCTTGCACTGTGGGCAGCGGTCTCTATCATTGATAGTTTCTCCAGTACCCTTACATTCATTGCAAGCATGCTGCATCTGCTGAATCATGGACGGACCGAGATGTCTAATAGAAACCTTCATACCAGTTCCTTGACAACCAGCACACTTCATCGAAGCACCAGACTTAGAACCCTTGCTGAGAACAATTCAAAAACAACTCATGTAAGAAATCCCACGCCTGATACGGGCAAAAATTAAATAATCATTAAAATCTAGCCAATGTTCCAATCAATCAATATCACACTTTTATTCCCAAAAAAGCAATTATCCATTAAAATCAAAAACCAAACACTCAGCATACCAAACAACAATAAAAATTGGTCTTAGTAGGATAATTTTATAATTAATCAAAATCATACTAGAGCTCAATTTCTATACACTATAGAAACAAAGACTATGAACAAGTCAATAATCATTATTAATATGACTTCAAAAATAATATTACAAAAGTAAAAAAAAAATTGACATGCACGGTGGGTATAAAAGCCCTTTATACATTCAGGACACAAAATAACTATTGCAAAGACTATGAGCAGCTCAAGACATAAATTACTTATTAATCATTAATCAGAATGAAACAAAATCTGAATATACCCACCCACTGCACTTGGAGCATATGACATTTCTGGAAAGGGAGAGCTTCTTAGAAGTCCCGAGGTAAAGGTCCTCCAAAGAGACCTTGAGAGGGTGCACCACATCTTCTCCACGTCTCTGCCTCCTGCCTCGACTACTACCACCTGTTTTCACAGCCACCGATTCAGCCCAAACAAACAACACAAACAATAATCAATTAATCACAGTAATCAATCATCATATATATAATCAAACCTGATCCAAATGGACTTCCACCACCAAAGAAGGATGAAAAGATGTCAAACGGATCATGGCCACCACCACCACCACCCATTCCTTCCTTAAGCGCATCCTCACCATACTGATCATATATCTCACGCTTCTCAGGGTCACTCAGAACCTCATAAGCTTGAGCCAGCTCCTTAAACTACACCACACAGAACCCACCATAAGTCTCAACTAAACTCAGCATAATAAAACACAGTACAACTACCACAAAAACTAACCCTAGGTCAACCAACAAACCGTCAATTCAACATTCAACCCTAATTCGATGAACAAAACCCTAATTGAATGAAAACCAAAATTACAGAGAATTAGGAAGGTACCTTCTCGGGATCACCACCCTTGTCGGGGTGGTTCTTAATGGCAGCTTTCTTGTAAGCCTTCTTCAAATCATCCTGCGAGGCGTTCTTGGCGACGCCAAGGATTTCATAGTACCTCGTGTTATCGCTCTTCTTCGGTGCCCTCCCGAACATTTTTAACCCAAAAGATCGAAATTACAAACCCTAATTTCAGAGAGCAAAGAACGATTGCGAAGAGAAGACTCCAGATCCCAAAAACCAACGAGAGAAGAAGTAACACCCTAGTCCATGGATGTTCCAGGCGCGTATATTTATATTTACATTCTCCTTTATTTTTATTTTTTTTGTGAGATTGAGTAAGGATTGAACCAACGGTTGAGATGGGCCTGGGGCCCATGCAAGAAGGATCTAGAATTTTTGTTGGCGTGTTTGGGTGAAGTTGGAAGTAAAACGGTGGTGAACGCGGAATTTTGTTCTAGATCCTTCCTGATATGTTCTAGGTAATGCGAGAGTTTCCTTTACTGATTTTTTTTTGTTTTTTCTATTTTTTCATGTATTGAAATTTAAAAATAAATAAATAAATAATTCTCTCTTTTGGTCCACTCAATTTTGGGTTCTCAAATGACGGCCACAAGGGTATATCATACCCTTGACTCCACTTGTCTTTGATGGATTTTTTGAAAGAAAAAAAATAGTAATAAATCAATTTAAATAATTGATAGTAATATATATATATATAATAAGATATAAAAATTAGAATTAATGTATAATATATTTTTATAAATTTAAAATTTTTAAAATTTATATTTGGTATATTATTTATTATTAAAGCAAAGAAATTTTGAAGAAAAAAAAATCCTTCCATTCTGTATGTATTTTCACTAAAAATAAAGTTTGTCCTACAATACAATAATGTTATGCACGTAAATGACCAATCGTTCAGTAAATAACTTAAATTTTAACTTTATAAATATATTATTTTTTTTATGAATTATACATATACACGTTAGCCTATATATATTGAGTAAAGTATATTTATCATGTTCTGTAATTATATATATATATATATATAATTAAAATTACTTTTAAGAAATTAAAACAAAGTATGTTTAATATAATTTTGCAATTTATATTTTAATTTATAATATATAGAACATATTTTTCTTATTAAAAAATTACATTTTTTGATAAATTTTTAAATTAATGTATTATTATAATCCATGCTTAGGTAATATAATATTGACTGATCAATGATAAATTATAATAATATACTGATTTAAAATTTATAAGAAAATGTAGTTTTTTAATAAGAAAATATATGTTATATAAGTTATAATTTATATTTATGATAAATAATTTATAATAACATGATTTTTTAATTGAAAATTTATTTTAAAATATTAATATATAATTTATAAATAAGTATATTAAATAAAAATTAAATTAAATATAATATTAAAAAATTCTGTAAATTCTCAAAAAAAAATTAAAAATATTCTTATGCAAAATAATATATTATATTTAATATATAAAAGATCCATTTATCATGATTCACATAATAAAAAAAATGGCTAATCCAACATACATATGATTGAAATAAGTTATAAGAAGATATTCTTCACGAAATATGTTTAAAAATTAAATTAAATATAATATTAAAAAATTCTGTAAATTCTCAAAAAAAAATTAAAAATATTCTTATGCAAAATAATATATTATATTTAATATATAAAAGATCCATTTATCATGATTCACATAATAAAAAAAATGGCTAATCCAACATACATATGATTGAAATAAGTTATAAGAAGATATTCTTCACGAAATATGTTTAATATACTTTTAAATGGTTATATTTTTACTTAAAAAAATTCTTCAAAAATTATGTTTTTCAGGTTTATAAACTTATCATTAATTATCTTATATTTTATTTTATGATATAATTATTAATATTTAAATGTAATTTTAAAATTTATATCTTAATTTTTATATATAAAATATTTTCCTTATTAAAAAGCTACAATTTTTAATAAATTTTTAAACCAAAATATTATTATAATCAATCACGATTTATGCAATAATATTTTTAAGAAGTATTCTTCAATCTGAGCATTTTAAGAATTTTTTTAACTTAATATTAAATTCAAATTTTTTATTTATCACATTGGTTTAAGAACTATATTCTTAAAATATATTATCAATAATTAAAAATAATTTTGTGACATAATATAAATTATTTATCATAAATTTAAAATATAATT